GGGGGGGGTAGTGAATGACGGGAGGTATAGGTGATTAGGGGTGTACGAGGTGGTGGGTCCACTTATTGGTTTTTCATACAAATGTCTAAACTACCCTTAATTAATGGTAAAATCTATATATTTGACTAAAATGTATTTATTTATTTACTATATTGCCATTAATGATTGACCATTATTTATTAAAGTTTGACTAGATCATAACCATTGGTATGATATATCCAATGATCCAGATTTATTCTCATTTCTTTCATTGTGCTCCTTTCTCATTTGAGCGCATCCCTATATATATTATAGGATAGGATTTCTTAGTGATGAGAATGCAGATATACCTCTAAATAGTATTGTTTTAAAAATCAGTTTAGGCGGTGCCAGGGCGCCTCCGATTGGCACAAATCGGCAGAAAAAATCGATTAGACAGCTACGCGGCGCCTAGGCGGGCCTAGGCGCTCTTAGGCGGACTTGGCTGGCTCGACGGCCAAGTAGTTAGGCGGCGCCTAGGCGGACTCGGCGGCAATTTTTCAGTTTTATTTTATTTTTTAAAATACTAAAAACATTATTTTGTTCTCATGTCTTCTTTAAAATATATTAATATTATTATTTGAACTTAGGTATGTCGATTTATTATAAGTTGAGATAGTTTACATTATTTTGTTCTCATGTCTTCTTTAAAATATCTTAATATTATTATTTGAACTTAGGTATGTCGATTTATTATAAGTTGAGATAGTATTATTTTGTAGGTAGTTAAAATAGACAAAAAATAATGTATTTAATATTGATTTCTAGGCCCTAACTAGGCGCCGCCTAGGCGCTCAAGGCGCTAGGCACTGGTCGAGTGCCTAGCGACTTTTAGAACACTGCTAAATAGTCGAATTTTCAAATGAACATTCAGTGGTTTACAACCGAAGTCCGCATGTATTTGTTTGAGATTTCGAAATCTTAAGAAATCAAAAGATGTTCAATTTATTTGTCACTTATATTTTCTGAATTTTTAAGACCTATTGAGATTGAAAAAAAATGTGTGGTGCCAAAGTTTGGCTCAAATTAAGTTATGCCTTAAATATTAGTATACTACTATTATTTATATATAAAACATCACAAGTTCTTTTGTGAGGAAAAGCAATCATCAGGCAAAAATACATATTTATGTTATGTAATATCTTACTTCTATTTATGTTATCTTTTAGAATATGACATTTAAGATTTTTTCCCCAACGATAGAATGTCATATATAACACACATAAAAACAATAGAGAGGTCGACCAAAGCAGCCAGCCCAAGTCCGCAACCAATGGTCGTACTGAGAGGACATCCCAAAGGGAGCCTAAAGACCACAACTCACCCACAATAAGAAAAAAATACTAACCTCCCACAAGAGGAGAACAAAACTCCCACAAGTGGAGAACAAAAACTCTCAAAAGAGAACAAACACTCCCAAAAAGGAGAACAACAACCACACACTACAACACAGAAAAAACACACAACACAAGAACACCGAAACTAAAACAACACCTAACACAATACTGACTAAATTCTTCCTCCACGGCAGGCTGACAACACCGTACCTTCACCACTTGAACCGAAGCCCAGGAGGAATATACATTGAGAGAGGTTAAGGAAAGCGACATACACGACAACGAGAAGAACACAAATGTCAGAAGACTCGCGCCGGACTGTCGAACCAACCCTTTCTGCTAAGCTACACTGCTGGACCAACACCAGAAGTGCACGCTTATCTCAGCCCTCACACAATTCACCGAGCTCACCACCACCGCTCCTGCCGGAGAACCCACTCTCTTCGCACTACGGAGAAGCAGGAAAGGGGATCCAAGACCATCGCCGACCTAAGCCCCTCCATCGCTGCATGGCAAAGACGCCGGCTGCAGAACCACCACCAGCACAAAACCCCACCCCACGTGAGACCTCCATGGCCAACATAAAGGCAGAGACGCAAGCCAATCGAGAAGTGCGAAAGCCAACTATGGAGGAACCACAGATCGATGTCGTCTTATTGCGAAGGTGCGGCACCTCCACCGAAAGGAGGTGCCGTGAATTTGAATTAGGGCCGAGGGTATTTTAATTGAAAAAGTATTGTTGTCTAATCGTTAGAAAATAACCATCATAAAATATTCATTGAAAAATATGTATATTCATGGACCAGTATAAATTTTGTATAGCAAGTCCTATTGGTGCATGAATCTCAATACTAAATAAACTAAAAAATACAACAGTATGTATACATTACGTATGAACATATTGCAATACAAATCCATGTCATATCAATTATTAGCACATCTTATTCATCGTCACTAGAAAAGCTTGAAGTTTCAGAAAAACAGCCATATCTTTTCCAGTTAAAATTCATTATTAAATTGGAAACATTGGAGAATATTAGCACTAAATTAATATTAGCACTAAATTACTACTACTAATAATAATAATTATTGCCTAGTATATCAATAATATTCAGTGTGGTGCTTACCAGTTTTTCTGTAACACACAAAAACTGGAGAAAAATAAAATACTTCTTATCATCTTCTATACTGCAACTCACAATGATCACTAGCAGATTAATACCATAATCATACTTGCAGTAAAATAAATATATATATATATATATATATATATATATATATATATATATATATATCAAATGAATAAAAGAAAAGAATTTCCGATTATATTCTCAGGCCGAACGTGATCCGAGAAGTATCTTCAGATAGCCGAACTTTCCGGCACCCGGTGAGGATCCCTCAAACACATACGGCAAGAACCCAGTCGTAGCCTTATACTTCTGTTGGATCTGCTCGCGCGGAAATTTCGTGTTAGCTAATGCGAGACTTGTAAGTAATAGTTAAAGTGTTAAACTACAAATGAAGAGGATGATTACTTTAAGTATTTGTTCACTGCTTCTTAAGAGGTTTTTACCGATCACACAAACCGTTCCACCCGAGCCTCCACCGGTGATCTTTGCTCCGAATAAAGTCCCGTTTAAGGACTTTGGCGACTTGCTGTGCTGCATTTCTTGCACTAAACCGACCAAATTATCTGTCCCGTCTGACCCGAGCCCACATGCGCTGTAGCTGTAGTGAGACTGAAAATGATAAAATCTGTTAATTGCCTCGGAAAAATACATCGTCTTTACTTGCGCGCGAATACTCATTCGAAAACTCTGTATAAATCTCATTTAACAGCCTTATTTATGTATAATTATAAATATACCTGATACATAAGTTCACCAAGTGCAGCTAGTTGATCGTCTGAAGGAGCAGAGGATAACAAAGCTTTAAACGCCTGCACATGAAAACAATTTTTCCGAAACGAGCTTCAGAAAAATATGTCGACCCCTTTAAGAATAAAAAGAAATACTGTAAACATAAATAACTAACCTTGACTCTAAAGTTTTCGTAGATGGGATGCCTTGTGGGTGCTCTCACAGCATAGCTGCACTTCTTATCAATTACCGTTATTAAATCGTCGTGTTTTCCGTAGTTCTTCAAGAAATCGTTCCCAGTTAGAAACTCTGGAAGCCGATGCACGTAAGATTCTTCATAACTGGGGAAAAAAAATAAAAAAATTCATTTCATCAAAAACAAAGAGAAAAGGAACTATATAATTATCAAGAAACGAAAAATAAGTATGACCGGTGAGGGGACAAGTTGCATAGGTAATCCATTGCAGCCTCGTTTTCGTGCAAGTTCATGCCGTTATCATCTTCTTCTACGTTGTCGACCCCTCCAGTTTTCTGTGAATTGTTAAAATTCAGTTTGGAGCGCGATTTTTCGGATGCCATGGACTTAATCATCTTTCGGCCCATGAATGTGCCGATTCTCGCAGATCCATAATCAGCACCACCAACACTGAAAAACGAGTCGTAAAAAAAAAAGTAACTTTTTTTTTTAATCTACTAAAACTTTGTCGAGTCAAAATGTCGAGGCTCCAAGATTCTTTTTACGAGCGTCGTCAAATGTAACAAAAATTCATTGCTTAAGCGTTTCCGAAGAAAGACAAACGTGCAATTCGACTCTCTAAGCAGAGATCGAAATATCTCCAACTTCGAAACAAATAAATAAATAAACCAAATAAATGTGTATATACCTATGCCGTATGCCGGAGTCGATTCCCCAAAATCGTATGTGAGAAGGGATTTCCACATGGACCAATACTTCAGCAGGCTATATCGATAAAACAAAAACACAATTTTCAGTTCGAGTCTTACACTCGTTTTCTCCACATTTTACGATAGCATACGAACTTAATTTGATATTCTCACCTGACAAAGCATGGCTAAGAGTTTGTTTGATTCGCCACATGCAGAAGCCATTTGATCCATCACTCCACATGGTGCACCGACTATGTGATTCTCGACCTGTTTTCACATAAGGTTTGCTCGGTTTAATATTTTCATTGAGAAATATGTGTAGGAAATAACCGTATATATGCTCGGGAAGTTAGCGTGCCTTTTGGCAAAGCAAAGCGAGATCTCTCGGTGATATATCTAACCCTGCAGAAATCGAACAAATGTCATCAAACGATTAATGTATCTATGTACCACTTATTCTAGTGTGAAAAAAAAAGGAAATTTATGCAAAAAGAATACATCGAAGAGGTTGATCAAGCATTTTTCTAATTGAGGACCGAGAATTTTCGAATGATGCAATAATTTCTAACCATATAAGAAGAAAATCCGAACGAAGGAACTACCATTTGAAGAATATGATTCATGTTCGAAACTGAATTAATTTGTAATATTATACACTGTACTCTCGTCTTCCCCATCGAACTTATTACAACATGAAACTATACCACCCTAAATGCTGTCTTATTAAAACATTTGTTGATTTTCGAGCTTCCTCCACTTCTTCTTTATTTACTTCTTTTTAATGACGAAATAATATTAAATTCTCACCGTGAGAAGCAGCCACGGCAGACATGGTTGCAACTTCTATTGCAGCAGAAGACGACACGCCTTTGCCCTCCGGAACACCCGATGACACCTTTTGCAAAATTAATTCATCTTTTACTAATATCGGTAAAACAGAATTAACGAAAAAAAATGTTTCGAAACATATTGATCCAAATGTGAAGCTCCCACGATAACGAAAAATGCAAAATAGACAGGATTTTAGTTTGACAAGGCTATATATGTTTATAAAAAGTCCATTGATATTCGCTTCACAACATACATGATTATTGAAAAAGATCGATAAAAAACAGGATTAACGAGAATCCCTTACCAGTATGCTAATACTATCTGGGAATTGAATGCCCAATTCAGTCATCAATACCAGAATCGCACCAGCAACGTACGCGGCCCACCTGTGGAAGAGCAAAGAGTGGTGAAAAAATCAGCTTTTACCAAAGAAAAGAAACAGAATGCAGAAATTTAGAGGGAATTAAAAAAAGGTTACTTTTGTGACGGGTCCCGAGCAAAGAATAGCCTTGCCTTTTCGTATGAAATAGGATTTCCATCTTCCAAGAAATCCAACAGGTCCATGTCGAATGTAGGTGCTCGGTTACTCAGTTCTGAGCCGAAAGATACCTTAAAAATAGTATACACGTAAATCTTACTCATGAAGGAAACTGTTTGAACTATACTAAATGATAAAAATCCTTGGCTACATACAATTTGAAGCACGGGGATCGATCCATGTCCTCGATTATGCTGCCTGGCCTGAGCATGTTTCCATAATTTCTGTTTTTCTGGCTGACTCCTCTGAATGGCGACATGGCATGCCTCTCTAATAGGCATCTGTCACATATCAGCACCAAAAACCATTTGGCAAACGATATTTAAAACCAAAAAAATAAAAATAAAAATAAATTAATCAATGACTGGAGAACAGAAGTATCTCATGGAACAAAAAATGACCTGCAGGACTAAGCTTCCGGAATAATCTGCGATTCCTCCCATCACATCTAACCTCCCGGGAGCTCGAGTCACGATAATGGCTTCCTGTGATGCCGGACGAGAGGTAAAGACAAATTTATGAAAATTGAACGTTAACAACCTTAAAATAGATTCACAACTCGCAAAAAGCAGAAACTAATGACTATGCAGTGTACCTGCCAGTTAAACATTGCGTTTGCAGCGAGACATTCTCGAGAACGATGTTTACTACTATCCTCAGTATTAGTCATGGAATGCAATTCAGCTAAGCTCTTTAAGAAACCTATCGTGTCCGAAAGACCGTGATGATCTCCATGCAATATTTCGAAATCTTCAGTTCTACTGAAATTTTCAGACAAAAAAATAAATGAACATTAAAAATAAAAGATACTGATATGTCCAAGAAAATGATTTGAGAGAAAAAGGAAAAAGGACAAGTAGGTAGCTCCTTTCGAACTAAAAGACGAGTTATTTACTCTTTCGTAGAGAAAGTACACTCGTTGTTCTCGTCTGGTAAAGGGGCACGAGAGCTAAGCTCAGTTTGTGCTTGTGTGTACCACTCAGGAACATCAATATCCTTTCCAGAAACTCTCTGAAGCTGATACCCGAGAATAATGGCATCACGCAACCTTCTTGATCCACTAGGCTACATTAAAAAAATTCAAGAAAAAGTTAGGTAGATATTTTGCAAGTTTGCAACACAAATGTCCAATTTAAAAGTTATTTTCTTCTTCATAAAACCATTAATTTCTCTCTACCAACATGGTCCCGATTATAATGCTTCGTTAAAGAGTACAAATCTTTTCTAAGTTAATGTTTACAACAATGAAAATCAAAACTAATACTGTTTGGAAGAACAAATGAGGTGGGAAAATCAGATAACGGTGTTCGACACGAGGGAGGGACAAGAAAATTATCCAAAGTTTGTTTCTTACTATTAGTGTCTCAAAATTACGGATAGCAAGGTCGGTCGATAGGGGCGAAGCTGCAGTATTGTGAACTAATACTTCCATCAAGATTTATTTGGAGCAGAATTAGTTATACTTCAGCAGAAAAAATAAAATTACAAGGGGTTCCATTATTGTCTTTGAGTGATATAGTAACATTAGCATTGTTCAACTCTATTTCTTTAATTTTAAAAATGAACTTATTACAATTTGAACGCCAAAATTTCAAATATGAAGTGCAAGATACAAAATATGAAAGTGCAAGATACTACCGGACGTAAGAAAGATTACAAGAATTCTTACAAAATAAATACCTTAGATGGGGTAGGATGTTTGCCTAAAGCTGTGTCTTCAAGTATACGAGCTACCACCTTTGAGTTTAATTAGAGAAAACAGAACACGTTAGAGTTTGAACTTTGGAAACCTGTCGAACTTAAGGATTCTATGAGTATAAACGACCGAAAGGCTATCTAAGAACATAAATGGAATTTCAAACGTCCGAAAAAGGTTAAAGTTGGCCGTATTGTTATGAAATTTGTGAACTCATACAAGAGAGTTTCAATTTACGAGCTACGTAAATTTTACTCACAAATCAAGGTGTTCCCCGAGATAAAGTAAATTACTAAGAAATATAAACTTCTCCAAGTAAACAGATAGAAATTCAGGACAGAGGTCAGAGGATCACATAAGTTTCTTCCCAACATAAACGACCAGAAAGAATATACACATCAATAAAATTCGGTTATACAACAGGTGCCGAAAAATTAGCACCTGAAGCTAGCTCATATAATTTGGACCCGGAATGTTAGGATAGAAAGAAAATTTAAAATAAATAGTAATAATAAAAACTATATCAGAATCTGAAGTACCTCACCGCCATTAGTGGCTGCCTCGTAACAAGGTCTAAGGGTGATAGCTCGTTCGATATATGGAGCCCAATGTCCAGTCAGCAAATCTCTTCTTATAATCTCCACACCACACTGGAAGTACTGTTCACAAGATAGGACACAAGTTGACGAATGAATGAATAATAATGTCACTTTTTTTTTCATATTTTATAGAGGAAGTAAACATCATTATAAAGATTCTATTCAGAAGGAAATGTACCTCAAGCATATTCCTTACAAACGGTTCTTCGTTAAAATAGTCCCTTCGTACAAAGATGAGAGGCACCTTGTAGGCCAAAGCTTCACTTGCCGTACCGTACCCAATTTTACCTATGTAGTAGTAATCATGAAATGTCGAATTTAGAAATATTGAAGATGTTTTATCTACAAAGGAAATATATTTTCGACAAAGATTACCAAGCATGCAGTCTGAAGCTGCAATTATGTCGGGTGTGTAAACATCCTTCGGAAGCTTGATAAAATTTTCGGGAAGCTCCTGTTCTCCCGATGCCCCACATACCTATAAATATATATATTACATATGAGCGTAAAAGTTTCTCTTGCAGAATCATGATCAATTGTATACATAGTAATCGAAACTGACCAAGCATATCCATCCATTAGGTAGGTACCCTTTCTGTAGTTTCCATTCAGCTAGCTACAAGAAACAAGCAATTTCAATATAATATACTAAATTTAAGCATCATCTCAAAATGGGTAAAGAGAATCATATAAAGTCTGAAGTAACTCGAAAATACAACATAACATTTGAGGAAATTTCAAATGTATATCATCAGAGAAATAGTCGACCCCAGTTAAATGAGATACAAACTTAAATCAGGAGAAATATGCGAGTAGACAATAATAACTAGAACTGAAAAATGAATAAACCACACGTTGATGCACGAAAAAGGTGACTTTACTCCTTAACGATTCATTTTCGTATATTAACTTATTCTTTTGATAAGTTAGAACTAAAAGAAATGCATAAATTGTGGTAATGATGTTGCCTCAAACAAAGGTTGTAACTTTACCTGCCCACCAAAATTATAAACAAGAACTTTTGTATCCTCTCCGATTCAAAGCTCTTTCCTAACCTGATGAAAAGATAAAAGAGTTAAAAAATTACTCAAAGAAGTAGGTTGCATTAGCATAAACCAACCTCTGCTCGGGATTTGTGTAATCCCCGCACAATCATAGGTACATCAACAGCATCCCGGAAAGCAGGCACTGAAAAAGAAATATCATGTATGAATCACAATCAGTTGCTTAGGGCTTCGTCTGTAACATCGGGCACATGTTTTTATATATTTACAAAGAAAAAGTGGGGGAAAGACATAAAGAAGACGGCAACATTATCGACCGAACAAACCTTAAAAATGGACAGTCGTTTTATAAATATTTTGTCCGAGGGGTAGGAAACAAGTGAAGCAGTAACCAGACAAACTATTGCTTTTGTAAAGGACAAAAATACTCATGTATCCACAAAATCATGTACACAACTAGCAGCACATGCAAAACATCACACTTGGGCAAAAACTAGAATCTAGAGTCATATTTTGCACTATTTGGACACGAGAACTGGTAATAACTTGTAAGGGACAAAGCTGATGAATATGAACTGCAAATTTGTAGTGACAGGAAAAAAATAAATAGCACACCACTGTTGAACCCGACATACTTGGACAGTGTCCTGGGAGACGAATTAGAAAGTTGCAATGAGAATAATCTTCAGCTATCTGCAAAGAAATATAAATAAAATGGGTTTTCCATGCATTGATTTATGATGACAACCAAACATACTGGGGATTAGACATGTAGTGACGAAAACCAAACATGGTGGGAAATTAGAAATTCCACAGGGTTGAAGAAACAAATTATCGAAATTCACCTGCCAAATAATAGAATGACTATGATGTCCGGCTTCCATCATGTACTCTGCATATATGAAATCCCAACTACAAACAAAAATTTAAAAGAAAAACAAATATAGATACTAGGAATGCAGACAACGTATAACTAATCTTTTCGTACATGAAAGGACATTCATGCATATAATCGTAAAAGTCTCCGAAAAAAAATACGTCCCTGTCAACACTGGCATGAATCTGGATTCCAACTTAGTAAAACCAATTTGGAGTTAAAATATAATAATAGGTCCTCACAAACACATTATTCATCTTGATTCATTTTATCCAGCCTTAGTTCATATGAAGCAAAAACAACCCCATTATCTATGAAAAAAAGAAAAAAAATAAAAAAAATCATCTAAGTAAATTCCTCAAAAACAATACAAAAAATGAAGAAATTCATTGCCTAAAAGAGATGCAAAGGTAAGACATAAAAAAGGAAATTCCAAGTAGCCTACATTAAACATAGGTTTGTATACATAAACTCACCTGAAGTTGGTCACACAAACAGCAGGAATCCCAGCATCTGCAGCTGCTCGGCATGCAACAGGAACAGCATCAGATGCCTATTCATTCAATGCAACAATAAAATAGGAAAAGAAAAAAAACTTGGGCATAAGGAATCCAAGATATTCGATATATAAAATTTTTAAAGTTGTTGAGAATAACATGCTAAAGTTTATAGATTCAGGTAGTACCACTAAATTAACATTGACAGATTTTAGCCATTCAACCTCAGAGGCCAAAATGGAATCCCGAGGCACCACAGCAACCTTGACATACTGAATAGGGAAGAGAAAGAATAAGTTGATGGAAATAAGTTTTCAAGAAAATCCTTTTTTGTGTAAGGAGAAAACTCGTACACATTGCTCATTTCATTTCATTTTCTCGGTACCTTTTCCAAGGTCGCAAGACGGTCGACTGTCAAAGCATCTGCTTGAATAGCTCCACAGTCCAATACAACCTGAAGACGAAATAGAGCCATTTATATTTCCAGAACCAAATACGTTTCCAGCTCTTAGAACAAAAAGAATATCATGCAACCTACAGAGATTCGCATGATTCTCTTGATAATTAGACAAAGATGACAAGGTTTCTATTATGCACCATGCGAATTATCTTCCTTCTACAGTGGGACACACATACAGACAAATTAGCCAACAATAATTACCTCATTCTTCAGAATGTAGAAAAATTGCAAATTAGAACCGACTGAAAAATATTATATAGTCCATAATGCTACATGCAATAGCTATGCATAACTTTACAACCAAATCTTTGAAGTAAGTCATGCTAACTGACCTTCCGAATGAAGAGTTTGGGTGACTGTATCTCAGAGGTAAATATGTATTCGGGAGCTGCAGTAACCACATGAACCTCATGGCCAGCTAGGATGAGATTACGAACTACCTGTGAACAAGCAATGTTATGATAAAGTTAGTTTATTTAACTATTTTGATTAGTTGATTAATTAGAACCAATTTACATGAACAAGAAATCAACGGAAACACATAATTTTGGGTGAAAGACAAAAGAACATGAATAAGAACTATTAACCACAGTGAATTATATGATCTTAATTTTTGGTTAGTAGATGTGCTTTAAGCATTACATAAAAACTAATAGGAATCGTTCAAAGAAAATCCCCACAACTGAAATTATCAGAAGTAGTTCTTATTTCACAAACACATAAAACATGTAGTTCCTAAAAATCGACTCACACATATTTCATCTGCCTATTGAGGTGATCTTCCTCGATTTAATGTCGACCCATAAATACAAATTGCATGAATCTATTAAAAAACTTGAGTACTTGACAATGAGCTCAAGTTTTATGCACATTCTGAATCATTGAAGCTATTCCAAGGATCATGCTAACATCTACAAGGTAAGAACTTATAAAGATCCAAACTTTGCACTAAAAACATGACATATTATTTAGGGGCAATTCATGGCAATAACAAGGTCCAGAATTTTTGATAGCTTCAGCTCATAAACATCATTCTTGAATAAGGATTATGAAAAGCCAGCAAATGCCAACATCTACCAAATGAAATTGAGCTCATAAAAGATGCCACATTGTGTGCCATCACAGGGAATTACAGAGAGGATCATATGGATTTGCAGTCAAAGAAGAAAAACAAGGCTGACAGACAAATGACTAAACAAAAGGGGCAAAAAATGCATGTAGTTTTTTTTTTTCTACAAACATTTTTGTACATCAAGATTTCTTCAAACCCCATCAAAAGGAGAAAAATATAAGAAATTATCAATTACAAATAACATA